TGACTGATGTACATATGTATGTACAGCTGCGGCTAAAAAAATAGCACGACTGCAGGTGGAAAGTTTTTTTCCTAAAAAAAATGTCTGAATGTTTATTTTTTTTAAAGTCAGATTGCATGAATAATAAGTACAATATGTTGTCTCTCTGAGCAAGAAATTTTTACTCTCTCAATGTAACGGTTCTTTTTGTTTTTGGGCACTTTCTGCAAAAGGGCCCGAAATGAGGCGGTAACAAAACTAGCACTGACCACGTATTTGCTGAATAAAATTAATAGGAGTGATTGCTTTGGGTTTTTTTTCGACAAATTTTGAAAAAAGGAGTTGCATTAAAGGTTTTAATTGAATTTTTTCCAAACGAAGACCAAAAATTCTCTAGTCATGGGTCGCGGAAAGCATTGTACCGTCGAATAAAGAAATTTGATTAAAAACATGGTCTCTGAAGGTAAAACCTACGCTAAAATTGATCGAATTTTCGGTTGTTCAAACAAAATGATCCGCAACGCACTGCTGTTTGTCGAAAAGAACGAAAAACGTGGAAGAAAGCTCTCAATGTCCAACGTGGAGATCAAGCGCTTGGTTCGGCAAAGCAAGAAGGAGCCTTTTAAGCCGGCAACGGAACTGAAGAAGGAGCTTCAGATAGCTGAAAGCGTGAAAACAGTATGCAAACGCTTAAGACAAAACAACTTTAATGCGTGGAGTCCCAGAAAAGTCCCGCTTTTGACTGTGAAGCATGTGGCAAAGCGAATGGAATATGCTAAGATACACAAGGATTGGCCTGTGGAGAAGTGGCGCAACATTTTGTGGTCAGATGAGAGCAAAATTGTGTTGTTTGGTGGAAAAGGCTCTCGGTCTTATGTTCGGCGTCCACCACGACCTGAATATAATCCTCGCTTCACCTCTAAGACGGTAAAGAACGGAGGATCAAACATAATGGTATGGGCGTGTTTTTCATACTATGGAGTAGGTCCGATCCATTGGATTCAAAGCATCATGGATCAGCATATTTACACAGATATCCTGGAAAATGTGATGCTGCCATATGCCGAGGATGAAATGCCGTTAGTTTGGACATTTCAATAAGGTAACGACCCAAAACACACGAGCAGGAAAGCTCGAAAGTGGTTTGAGCAGAAATCGATCAGAGTAATGAAATGGTCTGCTCAGTCACCCGACTTGAATCCAATCGAAAACCTTTGGGCGGACGTGAAAAAAAAGGTTTCTGAAGCCAAACCCAATAATATCGAGGAACTTTGGGGTGTGCTCAAGGATGCATGGAGCAAAATTCCTCAAAAACGGTGCCAGGACTTGGTGGACTCCATGCCAGGACGATGCGCAGCTGTCATCGCCAACAAAGGTCACGCAACCAAATATTAAGATTCTTTAAACATAGTTCTTAAGATATAATCCATTTGTTGAATTCTTTTTTTATTTTTTTGCTTAGTTTTAGCAAACTACGAAAAAAAGTGCTATTTTTGTTATCGCCTAAATTTGAAGGTTTTCTTTTTGTTTTGCCAATTATTTTTAAAATATCCATTAGATCTGTTACTAATTTTGTTATTTCGATTGAAAATCATTGTAGTATTTAAGTTTAGTGAGTAAAATGATGAAAAAGTGTCAGAAAATACAGAAACGCTGGGACAAACACGAAATGTGCTTATGGTGCTATTAATGTCTCCGCAACTGTACGTACGTACATAGTATGTGTCTGGTGTGCATCCTCACAGGTCACATACTTGGTTGCCCTTCGAGCACAAAGTGCACTCGGGAAATATACATGTACATATATCCAAAAAGAGATTTAAACTTGAGCATAAGCTAATATGCCATTAGACTATAAGTTTTTATAATATACACGTACATATATGTACATCATTAATTACCAAAAATGCGTTTTACGAACGCGTAACTAAGTTCTATGTTATTTTAAGGCTGTGAATACAATGACAAAAGCCTCCTAGGAACACTCTTACCTTAATGGGCTAGAAAAAGAATCCCTTCGAGTTTAAATCTATTTGTAGACTGTCGCACCATGAATGCATAATTAACAAAGGGGAAATTCGGCAGCAGTGCACAAATTGCAAAATGCAAACCAGCCAGAGAGTCTGCATAATTAACAAACAAGCCGGCTGGGAAAATGTGAAAATTGCCGGCAGCGCTGAAGAGTAAGCTTCCGAATTCTAAATACCAAATGGACGAAATGGACGAAGTGGTCGAAATGGTTGAAATGGGAAATGCAATAAACATTCAGCTCAAGTAATAAGCCAACACATAAAATACACCATTAAATGGCCGATGGCCAAAACGAAGACGAGACGCTCAAATGGCCAGTCTGCGGAGTAAAAGCCATCCAAGTCCTTGGTGGGGAAGATGTCTGGGCAGGATTAGATGCTGTCAAAAAGTCAAAGCCATTAGGCACACACCAAAGAAGATGCGTCCAGCAGCGACAAAATTGAAACGAGATATGGCAATGTGGGAAAAAGGGAGGCGAGTCCCTAGTCCCTGCCACTTTCGACACCAAAAAACTAACGCAAATGAACAACGAAATTTAAGCACACACACTTCATTAGTTGGACTTTAAACAGGCCACAGGCACTGCTGGGTTTGGGGATCAAAGTGGAGCTCGGGTGACCGCAGGACATGCTCTGTACAGACGCCTCATTGGCTTTGACAGGACGCTGGACAGCACTGGCAGGGCATCCATTCGAGCCTGATTGCTGCGGTCCTCTGTCGCCCTCGTGGCATTCGTCCTTTTCGTCCTGCCCACCTGACAATATCAGCAAACAGCTCTCGCCTGACAAGCGCCGCAAAATGCCAACAAAAAATGGAACCCTGCTTTGGGATACCCTATGCATCAAACAAGTATTACCCCTTTTAAATGTATTTCAAAAATATACCATTCTAGCATTCCAGCGCTAGTGATATCTATCCAAGTTGTTAAAACTCGGCACTACCTATTCGTAGCTAAAATGTCATTTATGTCAACATACCCCTTCTGAGGGCATCACACAACAAGAAAAGCACCTGATGGAACATCCTTTTCAAGGAAAAAGCGGCCTGCGGGGTGGGATGCTCGGCTGCTAGGATGCTCGGATGCTTTAAGCCGCTGACAAAGCTCCTCTAATACCGCTGCAATTAGCAAACCTGTGCACCTGAGCAAACAGATGGCCCCAAAAAGGTTGGCCATGCGGAGGGCAGAAATGGGGACGATGTCCACTCGACATGGCCGGCAGCCAGGAGATTAGAGCCAAAGTTGTTTATGGCCATGGGAGGAATCGGTGGTGGTCACCGCCGGCAGGGCAGGGATAAAGCATAATGAAAGTAATAAAGTTCCACACAGTTTCAGACTCAAACTCAGCCCAGAACTCGAACTCAAACTTACATTTGATCGGCGCCTGGCGATAAAAACTTGTGTACGCCAGACAAGCGTAGCAGGTCCTGGCGAATATCCTTCCTTCCAGCCTGCCACACATGTGTTGCATGTGTTTTTTGCACCGCTCTGCGGTCGTGGCAACAATCCTGCACCGGAAAATATTGGCCAGCGGACAGAAGGACCCGGGGACACAAGGACAACCACTTTGCAACCGGGGCAGACACTTTTATCGCCCTCGTTGATGTTCGGCTTGCTGTTGTTTTTATTGAATATTCATAAATGGCCAAAAAGGACCAGCAGAATCAAATCGGCAACTAAAATGGTCGCTTGTCGGCGGCCTCAGCTGTTTGGGCCTGTTTGGGAGGCCCGTCTGTCTGGCCAGGGAATCAATATTTTATGCCCAGCTGCTGGACAAAACGAAGGAAGCCGCCAACCAGATGAGTAAGTTGGGATACACCGAGAACAAAAGAACACTCCACTTATGTGCTTGCATTTGATGCCGAAATAAGGCACACCTCTTTTTGTGCAGTGTAACATGGGCAGTCTGCAAGTGCAACAGGATGTGCAGGCCACAAATTAAAATGCGAGTACAGACACACGTACATACATGCATGTCTGCTGATAGTGCCACGCCCCAGGCGAGTTTTGTGGCTGCCACGCCCCCTTTTGGGGCATTTCGGATTCAGTTGCCAACGATTTTATTGCCTAATTTTGGTTGCTGCCCCTGCGGAGTTAGGCAAAATCGAATTTTGGCAACGAGATGCGAGTATACTTGAAATGACCCTTTTGTACGTAGTTCGTAAATTATTATGCAATTAGAAGGCATGACTGACTTTCTGGCATTCGAAAATGCTCCCCAAATCGATGTGGCATAGCAACGCACATCAAATTAACTAACAAATTGACTTGTCAAACTCTTTTCTGCCCCACGGCAACGCCCACCGCCTGTGGAAATGGAAATTACAAACCATTTGGCAGACAGGACGAGGCACACAAAGCATTCTCAGTTATTAATGAAGAAATCCCAGGGAAAAGCACGCACGACCAGCTCGCAATAATGAGGAAAATGCACTGGGGGGAAAATGGAAATGGCGGAAGAAAAGCGACGTGTATTGTAATTTTTATTTTTGTATACCGAAGCGAAGTCATTTGATTTCATCATTTTATGGACTCCGGCACAAAATGATAATGATCATTACTAGATGGTAAGCAAGGACATAAGACCCATTTCCGCTTTTGCCCATCAACAAGGCAACACGTAGCAAATTATGAATGAGTGCCTGGCACAGTGGTAATTGCCACTTGGCTGCCACACATGTGGCAAGTCCTCCAAATGGAGGCGACAAATTTCAGTTGCTTCTCCAAGGGATTGCAAACTGAGTAAACTACATCAGCAGCCCCAGGAGTCTGCATTAAATATGTTTGATATAAAATGAGATGACTGGTTGGTTTCGGCTTTCCTGCGAGGGGATTTCATTGTCCTTTACATGCCCTGTATGCACTACTCCTTAAAGTAACACCCATAGAATACAACACAAATGCGAGGGAAATCATTCATGAATGCGCTTTCAAGTACGCAATCATAAATTTTGCATTTTGATTGCATATCTGAAATGAATAGTGAGCTCACCTGACTGAGCTCATCCCGGGAGCGACGCGAGCACTTGGGCAGCAGGGCCTGCATGTCATCCTCGAAGGCGCCTCCATGCGCCGCGTCCACCACATCATCCACATCCGCATCCGGATCCACGCTGCTGCTCCGTCGACTGTCTGCATTCAGACATTGCTTCTGATTCTGAGTTTGATTTCGGTTTTGATTCTGATTCTGATTCGAGTCCAGGACCGTTCGATTTGGGGCTGATGTCATCGATCCTGGCTGGCTGCTCGTGTTGTTATTGTTGTTGTTGAGATTGGACTGGGCCAGGACATTTAGCTTGGCGGCGAGACCTGTTGCCTGTTGCTGAGATTTTTGTGACTGTTGGCCATGGTGATGGTTGCTTATATTGTTATTGTTGCCCGTGTGGGTTTTACCGCCATCCGCAGAGGCGGCATCCAGAGAGGTGGGCGTGGCTACGCCTGAGGGAATGGGCTCACTTGTTCTGCAAATAGAAATGTAGAATGCGCAATTAGTCTGGAGTCTAGTAGCACTGCTATTGCATGAGCGTTTGCAAAGGTTTCCAATAAGTAAGAAATTAAACCATTAAGTGTATAGTATAGTAAAATATATTAGTTTATGCTATTACCAGAAATATTTAATTTGCTAATAATAAATTGAAAGACAAAGCTCTTCAAAACGTGGTAACTTTAGTCAAGTGGACTTCCCTGCTTCGATTTTGGGGTGTCTTAAAGTCTTGGCAAGTAAAAAAAGAAAAAACCCATCCTATAACATTCAAACACATTTGTCAGCGGTCTACCCTCAGTCAGTCAAAAGGTTAATTTGAGACACATTTTTTTCGTTGCCTCCAAAGCCGTCGCCAAAGTGGCTAAGTTCACGACGAGGACGAAGGACGCAGGACTCGCATCGTCATGACGCCTCAAAGCGGGCAATTTTACGCCATTTTAACAATATTTCTACGATAGCGCACAAATGTTATTAATGAATGGCTAGAGAAATGGCTAAAGAAAGCGGAACAGAAAGGACATAAAAAAAAGAAACAACAAATTGAGAGCCAGCATGTGCTTCCGCCTTCAACTTCAAGGACTTCGCAGCCACAGGACAGCCTGGCTGTTGATGGATCAGCGCCCCACACACACTCACAAAAGGACCTCTTGTCATAAACAAGAAGGAGATGGAGCGAGAAATGCCCTACTTCGCCGTCGACTACATATGAAAAGTTGTCAAACACTCTGACATAATCATGTCAAATTAACACGGAACAAACAGGATGTCAACCTTTCTCCCGACTTTGTTGGTTGGACGGTTGGTTGGTTGCTTGGTTGGTTGGGTGGATAATAAAACACTCTCAAAGAATTAGGCGGCTTTGGGGAAAACTTGGGGCAGGCTCAAGGCCGCGTCAAAGGAAAACACGCTGAAATTTATGGCGATTTACAAAACAAACAACGGCGTGCGATAAACAAAGCAGGAAAATGACAGCCGGGTAGGAGAATCGAAAGTAGGCATCGGTCCCATGGAGAAGTCCATGGCCATGGCCCACTCATGGCAATTAAGATTAAGTGGCGACTATATAAGCGCTCGAGTTTGCGGTGTCCTGTGGCCGAGGAACCTTGAGAGTTTTGGCCATTCTGCGCACAGAAGGTCAGTTTTGCCATAAAACAAATGTAAACAACTTGATTGGTGAGCCAACAGTGGGAAAGCTTAGCACTGACTGGATTCCAAGGCCAAAATCAAGTGAAAAACTGTAGTTCGAGTTATATCGAGGTGGTATAAAAATACTTGCAAAGTCGTACAATAACTATATATCAACTTATCTTTCTGATCATTTGGAATAGTTTTCCATTGAAAGACAAAAGAAAATACTTATAAAATACTTTGTAGCTCAGCTGGACAGTTTATAAAACGGCGAGTATTTGAAAATGTCGCTTGCATCTCAATCGTTATTCACAATCAGGAGTAGCATGTGCCGGGACTAACTCAATTATTGCTCTGTAGATATTTGAAAAGTTTGGCTCACAATACCCAACCTTGGTATTCCTTCAATCGGAAGTTTCGTTCGCACTGAAATCCGTGGTGCTGCTCTTTTTGTTCTGTTCTCGTTCTCATCACCCAGTGCAATCACAGTTGGCCGGAAAATTGTCAAAAGTTTTCCCTCATCCATGGGTCCCATGAATATTTACTCCTTGTGCTCCACGGCCCGGATGAAATCAAAGTGTGGAAAATAAAACAAAATGTAAGCATATGTACAGCTGCAGAGGTGCAGGATATATGGGGTTTTGTATCGCAGAATGCGGGTCTAGCTTCAGCTGGAATGCGGTTGGATTGGATTGGATTGGATTGGATTCGAGTTGGTCAGGAGCAAAGGATTTCGCGTGGGTTGAGCGGGCGGGGCGGGGATATGCAAATTAGTTGTGACAGCTTTCAAAAAGTTCAACATAGTTGTCGATGGTTGCCCCGAGTACTCGGGTTCGTCCTCCTCACTTGGCAGCTGACACATCGAGCTGGAGAGGATGGGGGAAATGCACAAGAGTTCAGAACGTTCAAAGTTCATATGTGCACTTCAAACTTTGCATGTAAGTTTTAACTTGCCATATCAGCATGTTTGTTTCTTTAAAGTGCTTCTTTATTAAGTTGATTTCTTAGAAAAAATGCTAGGAATATATAATGACCATAAAATATATACCAAATGATATAACAGAATAATCTATCTACATTATGACCACTGGCTTTGTTTTATGGATAATGGCTTAGCACATTCCAGCTGATTTCAACAGATTTTTCCTCCCAGTGTAGCTGCACTGCATTTGTGATCTAGCCAAAACAGAAACAGAAAAGAAGTTGTAGGCCAGGAGGCAAGGAGGCAAGGAGTTTAACCCCCTGTCTGTGCCCCAAAGGCAACTCGGAAAACTCAACCGTTTTTGATATGGTAATGTGGCAATGGCAGTGCGTGTGTGGAATGCTCCATTATTAGATTTTTACCCAGTCTAAGCTCCCAGTTGAAAGACGCCCATAAAAAGATGGAAGACGGAGTTGCGGGCCAAAAAGGGGCAAGCATCGTCGAGAGTGCCATAAAGTAGTAATACTAATTAAGTTGTGCATTATGCATGTGCAGCTAGATGAGGAATGGGATTCAGAGTGGGATTGGAATTGGGATTGGGCTTGGGTTTGGGTGTGGGACTGCCACTCCTTGTCAGCTCGATGGGATGCCTGTGGGACGTCGCGTGGTGGGGCACTCGACTCTCGAGCAGCCAGTTGACATCGTTTAGTTGAGCACTCGCCGAACAATGCAGTGATTCCAATGATGCACTAGTCGAGGACCGAGTGTGGCAAGTGTGTGTGGCAAGATAACCTGGAGGACGTCATCGAAGCGAGTGCCGGTTGTGGCCGGAGACTAGGTCACTTTTTGTTGCACCCCAAGCGATATTGAATGAATATTTTGGTGTTGGGTTGCAGGCATAAAACAGGAAGTGGAAATGAGACTCTTTAAAGGTAAATTGTTTGAAAATTGAATTACAAAACGAAATTGAAGTTGACAAGATAGGAAAAAAAATATATAAAATATATATTTATGTTCGATCTTCACCCTAAAGAACACTTTAGTGGAATCACTCAACTGGAATCACTTCACTCACCTTGCTTTAGGATGACCTTTGAACTGCGCCACCTCGGCGTAGCGTCGTCCCAGAGGAACCTCCTGTGGACTGAGTAGGGAATCGCAGAGGACTGGAGCCACCGACTGGACCAACTGGACCGACTGATCGCCCACCGGCAGACTCATGCCCTTGATCAGACGAGCAGCGGGTTCCACGGGGCCACCGCCCTCCGAATTTCTATTGGCGAAATTCTTGAGCTGCTCCCTTAATGAGTAATCCGCTGAGCTGGAGCACGAGGTGGACTCCGACACGGAGGATGTCGAGCTGGATGAATGGCACCTGGGCACCGGCGACGGTGAGTGCAAATCCTGGCCAGCATTGCCGTTCTGCAAGTCCTGATAGGCGGCATGGGCATCCTCGGAGCCACTGCTACTGCCACTACTGCTGGTCGTCGAGGTGGTGGAGCCATTCGACTGATTCGACTGACTGGTCGTATTGGAAACACAGCTATCCATGCTGGCCGTCGAGTTTCGATTCGGATTCTCCCTGGCCTTGGTCTGGTCCACCTTCTTGGTGTCCTCATCCTCCACTCCGATGTCGTGCACCTGCTGCGGCACTATGATCAAGGAAGTACGCTTCCTTAGCGTATCATCCTTGGCATTCATGTTCTGTTTGAGCGTCTTATCCGACTTGGTGGTGTACACGATGACCTCCACCTTCGAGGCGTTCTCCGCAGAGGACACTATTCCAGCTGAGCCAGCTGATGCTCCTGCTGCTCCTGGAACTGCTGCTGTTTCGTGCGACATCCTGCTGCAAAGTCGCTTCAATTTAGAAACTATGCTGCCAAATCGAAGTGACAGAAACAGGGGAGAAATGGAAAATTGATGCTACCAACAACATGCAACTCATAAATGAAGACTACTCCCCCACATGTGTCAATCTTTTTTATTGATTCCGACATTAAATACCCAAGGCGAAGCAGCGCCTTCATAAATGCCATATCGGATATCGGATATCGTGCATATAGCACATCCGATGAACCACTCAGAACACGAATTTTAATACCACCCGGCCACGTTGTGGCTTTCAAAATGTTATTACTAATAAAAAAATGCCAAGACAAACACATTCGCAGTCTGCGGTGGGTATTATGTAACTGCAGTAAAATAAAAAGGGCAACACCTGCCAACCGCCGAATGGAAGTTGGAGACAATTTTTGAGTGCCCAGCTTGGGGAATTGATAGGTTTACTTAAACGACTTGAAACGTCGCAAAATTGAGGATCTTCAATACGCTTAAAGTCGTATAAATTGGGAGTTCTCCGAAGATTTTAATATAATTTCAAATGATGCAATTTACATTTCCTTAGAAAACAAATTCAAGATTTTTTGTATTCCTTCAGCGACTGCAGAAGAAATATTCTGGAAATAATGTGCTCGAAACACCCATGTCCATTAAGAGCATATAACATTCGACCGATTGACATGCAGAGACTTTTATGGTTTTCATGAACTTTTACAATAATTCCTCTGTCAGAACGCAAGTGTCTGTCGCTTTTTTTTTTTGAGACCTGCATCGCCGAGTTCCGTGTGCACGTATCCATTACATTTTGTTGAAAACAAAAATTATTAAACATTTCTCGGCATAAGTGGGGTTTTCTTCGGGGGAAAAATAAAAACAAAAGGTGACCGCTGGCTGGCTGGAATGGCCCATATTTTTGTTGGAATGGACTGCCATTAGAACGCTGGCTTGTGTAAACAACAGTTTGTGGCGTTAAGCAATTACAAACATTTGCTGGCTTTGTTTTGACATCAAAAGAAATTGAAAGAAGCCCCCGCAAAAGTAATATTAATAAGAAAAAAAAAAAAAATAATAATAAAGAAAACACAGAA